CGTTGAAATACCACTCCCTGTACGATCACTGAAGTTAAGCAAAGTCGAGCCTGGTCAGTACCTGCATGGTTAACCGCTTGGGAATACCAGGTACTGTCAGGTTGGATGTGCGGGTGGTGTAATGGATAATGGGTCGGAATTGTTAATCGGAGGGGTCCGAGTTTTAATTCCCGTTGTGTTTGTTCGATTCCCTTAAACGAAATACCTTGAGAAAGCTATGGATCCACCTCTTCTCTCCCCATATATAGCTTAATTAGTAAGACTTATATCAGTAAACCATTATTATCTCATGAAAAAATTATTATTGGTATCTAAAAGAAATTGTCTGCCTTTAATTAATGTGAAAATAGTTCATAAGCCTTAAAAACAAATCAATAAAAAATTATTATTGTTCATCAACCTTTACACACGCACAAACGTATTTATCACAATCGTAACAAAATAAGTCTTCATAAACAACCACATTGATCGATTGATCAAGTTTTACAGATTATCAACCCCCCTGTAGGTTATTTAAAGCCGAAACATATTTTAGATTGTAAGAAACTGTGAGTGAATATTATATTATCAATTTTTTGAGAATAACAATGATTTTTTCCAGATCAAGATCCTACTGTTTAACCTATATCTGAGGGGAGAAGATGGATTTATACCTTTCTGAAAGATAGCTTCGCGTAAGTGCATGTATTTCTCATTCTGAGCCGCTATCCATTACACCACACGCACACCCATCCATAGACATCAAGTATATCATTTTTATAAACACAGTTATACATACATATACATTTCTATTTTTCAGTATTTACTTGCCAATGCCCTTAAGCTAGCGGTTTTCTATTCATCTTTATTACACGTGCTACAACCAAAAGCTAACACTACGTGTTAATGTTACTTCCAGAGAAGACGAACAACACCAAGTCGTCCTTTTAATAATGGCATAAAGGTTTCTGAATAAATCACAGAGAGAGACAGAGAGAGAGAGTATCTGTATACATATAAACAGATAATAATGAAGAGACAAAAGATAGATAGATGGATAGATCATGAACAGATAGATAGATAGATAGATAGATAGATAGATAGATAGATAGATAGATAGATAGATAGATAGATCATGAACAGATTGATAGATAGATAGATAGATAGATAGATAGATCATGAACAGATAGATAGATAGATAGATAGATAGATAGATAGATAGATAGATAGATCACGAACAGATCGTGATATATACATATATATATATATAGAGAGAGAGATAGATAGATCACGAACAGATTGTGATATATATATATATATATATATATATATATATATAGAGAGAGAGAGAGAGAGAGATCATGAACAGATAGATAGATCATGAACAGATAGATAGATAGATAGATAGATAGATAGATCACAAACAGATTGTGATATATATATACATAGAGAGAGAGAAAGAGATAGATAGATAGATAGATAGATAGATAGATAGATAGATAGATAGATAGATAGATAGATTTGAATAAACTTACAGATTTGAACTGACTGCTATTAGATAGTAAACATGGAGCATGTGCTTTTGTATTTAGATTCTGTCGTCCATAGTAGTCGTTGCTAGCAAATACCACGTGTTTCATGAAAATATTCTGTTTGACAGATTCAGTTTGTCTGCGTTTGCTGCTCGCAAAGTGGATTTTCCTGAGATATTTTTTTTTTAGTGGGGAGCAAGTTTCAAACAAAAAGCCTTTAAGACGACAGCAGGTTCATCCAAATACATTCCTAAGATCAGTCTTAAGATCAGTCATGTCCCGAGATGAGCCTTGATCTTATTACATAATATATATGTATATAGACACACACACACATATATATATATATATGTGTGTGTGTGTTTATAAATATATAGAGAGAGATGCGTGCGTTTGTGTTTTTATAAATATATATGTGTGTTTGCGATTTAACGTATTACAATTTTATAGACACATATTTTTTTATTTATTTTATTGCATTTCGAAAAAGTATCTTTTGCACCTACACACACACACACACACACACACACACACACACACACACACACATATATATATATATATATATATATATATATATATATATATATATGTAGATTATGCAAAATTTTTGGGTGCAAGTGCTCAATATCAGAGATTGACTGTTTGTAAATATAAGAGTAGACACTGAACTCCAAGTCGAGTCGCAACAGTCCACCTCAGGTTTGAACGCAATCTTCGGGAAATAGATAGATAGATAGATAGATAGATAGATAGATAGATAGATAGATAGATAGAAAACTTTCTTTGGAAAAATTTTTTTTATAATTAAAATAAAAAAAATTATAAAGTCAATTAATATTTAATTAAAATTCGATTAAAAAATTCAATTAAAAATTTGAAATCTTGCTATAATCACTATTGTCAGTGTAATTAACACACGTGGCAGCGTGCTATTTATTTCTAACTTATTCATTTGAAAATGAAAAAAAACTTATATTACTTTTAAA